CGGGTATATAATCTGTGTGATGCCGGGTATATAATCTGTGTGTGTGTGATGGCGGGTATATAATCTGTGTGATGCCGGGTATATAATCTGTGTGTGTGATGGCGGGTATATAATCTGTGTGATGCCAGGTATATAATCTGCGTGCGTGATCCCGGGTGTATAATCTGTGTGATCCCGGGTGTATAATCTGTGTGATGCCGGGTGTATAATCTGTTCGTGTCACATTGTGTAACATCGGGAATAATACCTCTGTGTTTGTGTCTTCTTCTCCGATGGAAGGGATGCCGCTTCTCATTGCCAACGTGGAGAAGAACTTGTCCTGTGTGGATCTCATACAACAATTATTCCATCAGGCCAGAAATCCTCTGATTTCCAGAGAAGCATCGCACAATGCTCCGCCCTACCACCGCCCTGGAGGAACCACCCCCACCCCAGAGGATGAGGCTCCTCTGTCCTTCCAGGTCTTCCTCAGCACTTCCCTTCCTCTGCGGGAGTTTGTGGAGGGTGAGCAACGCTAAGAAGAAGACAAAGGACACCAGTGTCTGATCATGGAGTCAGCTCACATCTACCTTCTCTTACAGAAGCCGGCCCGGCCTTCATAAAAGAGGTGACGGTGATGGATCTGAGCCTCGGTTCTGATGGGCTGCAGGAAGAGCTGATCCACCAGATTCTGCTGCTTAAAGATCCACGACTGCAGGACGAGAGGAGGAAGCTGTACACCAACCGATTACAACTGACTGAGCGCCTGCAACGAGCCAAGGTGAGACGGTACACACCCCCTACATGTCACATGACCAGGAGGGGAGGGACTATGGTGTCAGGTGAGACATTGTACACCCCATACATGTCACATGACCAGCAGAGGACGTACCACAGTGTCAGGTGACACATTACACACCCCCTTGTCACATGACCAAGAGGATGTGACGATCATGGGGTTTGAGTCTGATAATATTAAATATAGTCCCCCGGTTCAGAGCAAATGCAGGCCGCCATTTGCAGGTCACTTCACATTCCACAGAAAAGAGATCTGCTATCTATCCCTCTAACCGTCTCGGGCGTGGGTGAGAGACGGGAACACATCGGCCATGGCTGGGAGACGGGAAGAAACGGGACATGGCTGGGAGACGGGAAGACATGGGGCATGACTGAGTGACGGGAAGACACGGTGAGATGGGAAGACATCGGCCATGGCTGGGAGACGGGAAGACACTGGACATGGCTGGGAGAAGGGAAGACACGGGACATGGCTGGGAGACGGGAAGACACGGGACATGGCTGGGAGACAGGAAGACACGGGACATGGCTGGGAGACAGGAAGACACGGGACATGGCTGGGAGACAGGAAGACACGGGACATGGCTGGGAGACAGGAAGACACGGGACATGGCTGGGAGACAGGAAGACACGGGACATGGCTGGGAGACAGGAAGACACGGGACATGGCTGGGAGACAGGAAGACACGGGACATGGCTGGGAGACAGGAAGACACGGGACATGGCTGGGAGACAGGAAGACACGGGACATGGCTGGGAGACAGGAAGACACGGGACATGGCTGGGAGACAGGAAGACACGGGACATGGCTGGGAGACAGGAAGACACGGGACATGGCTGGGAGACAGGAAGACACGGGACATGGCTGGGAGACAGGAAGACACGGGACATGGCTGGGAGACAGGAAGACACGGGACATGGCTGGGAGACAGGAAGACACGGGACATGGCTGGGAGACAGGAAGACACGGGACATGGCTGGGAGACAGGAAGACACGGGACATGGCTGGGAGACAGGAAGACACGGGACATGGCTGGGAGACAGGAAGACACGGGACATGGCTGGGAGACAGGAAGACACGGGACATGGCTGGGAGACAGGAAGACACGGGACATGGCTGGGAGACAGGAAGACACGGGACATGGCTGGGAGACAGGAAGACACGGGACATGGCTGGGAGACAGGAAGACACGGGACATGGCTGGGAGACAGGAAGACACGGGACATGGCTGGGAGACAGGAAGACACGGGACATGGCTGGGAGACAGGAAGACACGGGACATGGCTGGGAGACAGGAAGACACGGGACATGGCTGGGAGACAGGAAGACACGGGACATGGCTGGGAGACAGGAAGACACGGGACATGGCTGGGAGACAGGAAGACACGGGACATGGCTGGGAGACAGGAAGACACGGGACATGGCTGGGAGACAGGAAGACACGGGACATGGCTGGGAGACAGGAAGACACGGGACATGGCTGGGAGACAGGAAGACACGGGACATGGCTGGGAGACAGGAAGACACGGGACATGGCGGGGAGACGGGAAGACATCGGCCATGGCTGGGAGACGGGAAGACATGGGACATACGTTGCTTAGCACCCTCAGAGCTTTGTCCTTCAATGGACGACAGAGAAAAGTATGTAACGCATTTCCCCAAAAATAAGATAACATTAGACGCTTCAGCAGATAGAACCCGCCTCATTTCCTGGCTGGAGGATGTCCTTGGCCCTCCCCTTTCGTTCATTGGATTCCAATTCTTTCAGTCATGGAGGCTCAGCATCGCATGTGGCCATTACCTAGTGAAGCACAGAGACCCAGTGATGACAATCAGATAAGGTCTGTAATGAAAACAGAAAGGTAGAAAATGGAAAATGTCATTAAAATGTTGACGAAGGGGGAGGGAGGAACCAGAGGAGGCAAAATATACTACTAGTTGACCTGTCAAAAATCCAGTGAGCTCATAACTTCCTGTGTGGGCTGACAACTAAGGATGGGCTCTGGCGTGTTCGCATCTCCACATGCCGAGCCCGCCAGGAAGCTGACAGCGCGCAGCGCCAATCACAGGCACTGAGACATTTCCTGATCTCTGCAGCTGCGGACCTGGAAAATGTCTCAGTACCTGTGATTGGCGCTGCGCGCTGTCAGCTTCCTGGCGGGCTCGGCACGTGGAGCTGCAAACACGCCCGAGCCCATCACTACTGACAACTCACTACTTCTGCTGCACTAAAATTTCAGCCCTGTCTGAGTTTTCCCCTGCAGGACTCCTATCTCCACTCCTCTTTGTCCCTTCCCATGTACATACATTCATGTCTTTTGCAGCAAAACAATGCAGCTGCCTTGATCCTAAAGTGCCTTCCAGCACACTGTGTTTAGGGAAAGAGCTATTGGGAGCTGTAGTTCTGGGGCGTACCTATGTCAATAGGAGCCAAGCTCCCAGCAGCTGCACCTGTAAGAATTTGTCAAGCCTGGGGAAGAAGTCAAAGTCAGTAATAAAAAATGTTTCTCCCAGCAGGAGCAAGGGTAAAGAAAAAGCAATGCTGTGACATGATCTAGAGGGGGGGCAGAGAGGTTTGGGGGGTACATTTGGGCAATGATGGGACATACATGTAATAAAGCCTCTTTAACCTGCGATGTCTCTTTCTGCTGACAGGACACTTTTCTGGATTACGTCACCTCTGACACGGTGCCGCTTCTTCAGAGAATGGACTTTATGCACCAAGTGACCACATGTGAGGAGCTCCAGAGCTCACTAGGGGGGTCCCTGAGTGATGTGGAGGCGCTGCAGCAGCGGGTGACCGAAAATATGGCCCAATATGTGTCTGCGGCAGAGCAATGCTGCCTTCTGTACTCCCGCCTGCAGGAGATGTCACGGCTGTCTCCACAGTATCACTTTTCCGCCAGGTCCATCTTGTTCTGGGCTGTCCGGGCCCTGCATATTAAGGAGGAGGACGGAAGTACCATAGAGGAAGTACTGACCTCCGGGATCCTCTCTCGTGTGCTCCCCGCTCTTACAGAAGAGCACAGAAAGATATTGCGGGTGTTGCTGGCGGTAGGACGGCCGTCTGATTTAGAATGGTTCTCTTTCTTGGGACTTGCAAGTAAGTCGGCTCCGGAGGCCTCATCGTCCTGCATCCAGAGACCGCAGTGGCTGAGTCCCATGGCTTGGGAGGAACTCCAAAAACTGGAGAGGATGTCGTGTTTCCAAGGTATCCGGTCCTCGTTGGGCGCACAGGCCCGCCAGTGGCAGGAATACTTCAGACTGGGCTCCACAGTGATCGGGCCGATTCCCTGCTCCAACTTCTCCCACCTCACGCTTTTCCAGACGGCCATCTTATGGCGAATCGTGAAGCCGGAGAGCCTGGGCCAGGTGCTGACCCACCTCACCTCATGTATTCTGGGACCAGAAGCTGAAGACCAGGAGGAAGATATCATCGCTGTATCCAATGAACGTTCTCCAGTACTGTTCCCAATTCCAGGACATGCCGCTCTGCTGTACCATCCCCAAGACTTCATCCTGTACAGGGCTCGGAGGAAGGGGAAGGAGGTGAGGATGAGGAACATGCAGCTGTTTCATATCTTGTTTTTTTTTTGGGGGGGGGGGGTGTTCGTTTTTTTTTTATGGGCCATTATTGGTGCAGTTTATGGAAACCATGGCTCGATGCAGTAGGGCTTGAGACCCGAGACAGTTTAACCATACTAGTATCGGTATCGTTGCCGATGCTGAGTATTTGGGCGAGTACTTGTGCTTAGGTTCTCCGATACCTTTCCCGATACCGGAACTTCTGGTCAGAGGAAGATTTCCTCTGACTGGCAGTGCCGTAAGGGAACATGGAGCCAATTTCCTGTGCAATCAGGAAGCTAAACGGCGAGTAATGACCTGCCTCTCAGCTTCCTTATTGGCCAGGAAGCCGGCTCCTTGCTGATTGGCTGGGAAGCCGGCTTTCCAGCCAATCCGGAAGCCGGGACGTGGGTGATTATTAGGTCATTATTTGCCGGCCGGCTTCCAGATTGGCTCGCCGGCCAAACAACATGGAGCCAGCTTCCCGTGCAATCAGAAAGCAAGGCATGACATTATCCACTGCTCAGCTTCCTGATTACCCGGGAAGCCGGCTCCATGCCAGCGGAAGCATCGGTATCAGTATTCAATATCGGCGAGTACTAAAAGCAAAATATCGGTATTCGCACTCGATACCGAAAAAACGGAATCGGTGCATCCCTAGTAAGAATCAAAAAGCTCTCATACTATCTCGTTGGGTCCCAAGTCCTCCCCCATAGAAGCCATGATTTCCATATACTGAAACGATGATGGACGCGACGAGACATTATAACCATACAGGTTATGGTGAGAATCAAAAAGCTCTCTCCTTGGGTCCCAAGTCCTCCCCCATAGAAGCCATGGTTTCCATATACTGCAATGATGATGGAGAAAAAAAGCCTTAATAGCTCTATGCGCAGTTTGGAATAAATGGCTCTATAATGAATGATTTGATGGCTCCACCCACTGCTCTGAAATGAGGACTAATCCTCTGATTTTAGGGACATGTAATGGAATGAGACATGTGAATACCTCTTCTTAGAAGGCTTTGCTGTGCTATGCATGGAGGGCTTTAGGATTTGTTTAGTCCCTACTCACTATAACCTGTATGGGTTTACTGTCTCATTAGTTAAACATAAAAAAAGAAGTAACAAACAGGATGTGATTATTTATTAAATGTATACGGAAGTCTTGTATATTCCGTTTAGGTAAAAGTGATGACGTGGAGCTCGTCTCTTCCAGACAAGGAGATCACCGACTCATTGGTCAGAAGCCAGCAGGAAGGTCACTGGGTCCTGCTGCATTGGCACCCCAAGCTGGCCCATGTGTTGAATGCTGTCAGAGGTAAGTAACTGCAGTCATTTCTTCCACATCTTCTAGGAAAGATGAAGACGCACCGTGTGTGACGGACCCCAGTGGCGCTGACAGTCTTTTGATGAACAGGTTACACAGTATAACACACTTAAACATAACCCCACAACCAGGGAAGTAACTAGAAATCCCAGGGCTCCATAGCAACACCCCCCCAACGCGTTTTTGAGCGTTTGTATTGCGTTTCAGCGCTGAAACGCGACTAAAAACAGCCAAAAATGCTCTTTCAAAAATCGTGTGGAAACCACGGTGAAACGCTTCCGCCCTGGTGCGAATGGCGCCTGAATGAGGCCTAACACTTGACTTTAATACTGCCACACCAATGAGAGGCTTAGAAAAGGGGGATTATAAAAAAAAGGAAGGAGCGCTAAACGGCAAATAAGAGATTTATGTTATAAATGGTTTTTGCGCTGTGTTGGTGTTTGTGTTGTGATAAAATGATACAGGCGTATATTTAATTACAACACAAGGTATCGCAACGCACGGCAATGCGTCACAAAGCTTTGCCATGCGCTGCCACAGTTAAATTGTTTTTTTTGTTACAAAAGAAAAAAATAATGCACTGCGAGCGCATGTGCCTGGCGTACGCCACAATATGGTGCGCGTGTATGTTATGTGTGTGTGGGGGAGGGGGGGTTTGTGCTTTTTTTTTTATTATTATTTTTAATGTCCTCCTGTCAGTTTCAGGACGGCAGCGCCTCCTCCGCCGTCCATTTTTTTTCCGATACCCACTGCCTCGGCCCATACAAGCGGTGGAGAGCAGCGGGGATGCGGGCCCCCCCAGTGCCGCGGGCTCCATAGCGACCTCATCGGTCCCTATGGTGTAGGTTCCGCCACTGCCCACACCAATACACATATAACCCATAAACTGATGACCATGTCGTCACACCATGTACCGGCCAGCTCTATTCAAGGAGAACACTGGCAGTATGGTGAACACTTTCCATGGAGGATTATGGGAAAGATGATAAATGCAATGAGCTGTATGTACAGTATATGTTATTGTAAGGTGATACCAGGCTTCTCTTCTTTCCCCAGAAGATCCGGCGCAGACAAATCCCGAATTTCGGATGTGTATCATCTTAGAGGAGGAGGCGCTTGGTGCAGTGTTAGGTAAGCTCACATGAACTATATCTGCCATCCTGTGTATTGTCCTCTGTCCGTGTATCCAGGACATACGTTGACTGACTTCACTCTATGTTACAATATATAGCCAAGCGTTTGTGGACAACTGACCTTTCCAGACCTACCTATATGGCCAAAAGATTTGGAGCCCCCTGTGACGGACCGCACGGCACCTCGACTGGGTGCCCCCGTCACTATGTAGCTTCCTCTCCGCTGGAACCCGAATTCCAGCGTCCTCAGCCCAAACCTGCCTAATTATTGGACGGAACCGATATATTAGGACAGAAAACTAAACTCCCACAATTACAAAGATTTACCCCAAAAATCAGACAACACCAATGTTGAAGTAAAAACAGGAACTGACTTTATTGCAAACCAGCTCAGTATTTATAGAGTTCTGGTGATCTAAAAACACAACGCAATCAAAACATCGAGCCAACAATCCCCTCCCCGGAGCCTTCATGAAGTAATAGGGAGAGGGAAGACACATAGAATGGGATTATCTCCTGAGTGTCTGTAGTAGGATAATGTACTCAGCTACACCTAGAGCCAGCTACACCTAGAGCCATCTACGCCTAGAGCCATCTACGCCTAGAGCCATCTACGCCTAGAGCCATCTACACCTAGAGCCATCTACGCCTAGAGCCATCTACGCCTAGAGCCAGTGTGTCATTTACACCTAGAGCCAGCTACACCTAGAGCCAGCTACACCTAGAGTCAGTGTGTCATTTACACCTAGAGCCATCTACACCTAGAGCCATCGACACCTAGAGCCATCTACGCCTAGAGTCAGTGTGTCATCTACACCTAGAGTCATCTACACCTAGAGCCATCTACACCTAGAGCCATCTACGCCTAGAGCCATCTACGCCTAGAGCCATCTACGCCTAGAGCCATCTACACCTAGAGTCAGTGTGTCATCTACGCCTAGAGCCATCTACGCCTAGAGCCATCTACGCCTAGAGCCATCTACGCCTAGAGCCATCGACACATAGAGTCATCTACACCTAGAGTCAGTGTGTCCTATACGCATCGAGCCATCTACGCCTAGAGCCAGCTACGCCTAGAGCCAGCTACACCTAGAGCCAGCTACACCTAGAGCCATCTACACCTAGAGCCATCTACACCTAGAGTCAGTGTGTCATCTACACCTAGAGCCAGCTACACCTAGAGCCAGCTACACCTAGAGCCATTTACACCTAGAGCCAGCTACGTTAATCCCATCATTAACACAATGAAACAAATGGACAAATAGACTGTAACAAGTTCAATGGAAGTCTAAGTCCAGAATTAACCCCCTTCAGTGCTGCTGAATACATCCCGTAT